TGCGGCACATCTGCGTATGGGGCAAAGAAAGGGCGGCTTTGGGTCAAAATCCGTTTAATTCTTTAAATTTCAAGCTTGCTAGTGTTGTATGGAAATCCAACATTCATTGGATTCATCGAGAAAGCCGCAAAGAATAACGTACATGTAGGGCTGAAATGCGCCCCGAACTCTGTTGTTACAGACCATCCTTGAACAACTCCAGCTGCCTGTACAGGTGGTTCTCTAAAATTAATCAGAAATTCCTGTGTTTCTGTATGCACTGAAAAATGGGGAGCTGCCCTGACTGGGAATGAGGAAAGGGGTGTGCGTCCTGCTCAGTTTTGCTTCCTCTCAGCATTGATGCTTCATGTCAGCACTGAGTGACTCGACCTTCTGCTGCACAACAAGCCCTTACAGCAAAAAAATGGTAGTTCTCTTTTGCCTCCCTTTTCACCTCAACTCACTGCTGTCCAATACTGACAGCTGAAAGTCAGGGAGACTCGAGTATCCGTCCAAGCACTAGGACCAGCCTATAGCTCCCTTACTTCATCTTCAGGGCTGTGGTTGCAAGGAAGTGCCAATTCCTCTGGTTTCTTCATTTGAAAAACTGAATCTGCCCCTGGGTAGAGAGGCTTAATGTATAAAAGGGAGCCAGTGGACAATTATCTTCAAAAAGCCTTTGCAAGGTTAGCCGTGAAAAGTCTCTGAAATGATCTGCTTAGGGTGCAGGAAAAAGCCAACAAATCAGTGGATGTCTTCCAGAAAGGCATTGAGAACAAAACAGAAATTACCCTTTTGCCACTGTTTAAAGCCTCAGCCAACCCTCTTTTTAAATGCAGCACATAGTTCTCCTCTTCAGATCTCCAGAACACAATGAAATTAGAAGACACCAACTAAAAGGACCGAGAGAATTGAGCAGTTAATGTACAGGAAGGTTGAAACTCAGTTTGGAGGATGAGGGGAAGGTGACCAAGAATCATAAATGCAGTGGATAAAGTGAATGCAAAACATTATTGCAACTCAGTATTGCATTAAACTCTTAATACAACAATTAGTGGCACTCACTGAAACAAGTAGGAGGTCGGTTTAAAACAAATAAAAGCAATTTCTTACACAGTGAATTGTAAATGTTGTATCAGTTGTCACATTGTATAGGCAGGTTGTACCAAGACATTCAAGAGATTAGGAAAATTAATGCAAGAGGTTCATAAGTGGTTCATTAAGATTGGGAAAAACTCTCTTACGTACTTAATCCAATTACAGCTGATGCTGCAGAAGTGTGAGGAATACAAACAGATAAGACATTAACCAGGCTTTTGTGCTCTGCCTAAATAGCAGCTCTTACTATCACTGCCAGAGACAAAATACGGAGCTACTTGGAACACTAGCCTGGCCCAAGAGGGTGTTTTTTTCTGTTCTTATCTTCCTTGTAGGTGCCTCAGACAAAAGACACTGAATTTGCACAGCTGTTATTATGGTAGTCTGCCCAAGGTAAAGCTACAAAGCAAGTAATTTTTTTTGTGGTTCCCTTTTTTGACTATGAAGGCACACTCTGTCATCTTGTTCATTTTCCATTGTCCTGTGTGAAAACATAGTCAGCACTATTACATTTACAGTTACCAAAAAAGCAGCATAAAAGATAAAGAATTTGCGTAAGACAAGCCAGTTGACCACAAAAAAAAAAGCTTAAGCAGAGACATGCAAATCAGAGGGCTGTAAAGCAATTCTTCTAAAATGAGCGAAAATTAACAATGTTATAGGAAATAACTACTGTAACTATTTTTCAGTTCCTTGCTTTTTGTAGAAAGTCAGTTAATTTCCTTTTTCCTCTCTTTTTACAAACTCCACACTTGGATAAGTCCGTAGTTTGTTCAATATCTAAATGCTGCGAACAGTTTTGTTTTCAACACAAAAGGCCATTTTCAGCTTTACTGGTGATTTGAAGTAAAGAGGAATCAGACCTCAAAAATACATAGATTGGCCTAAACTATGTTGAATTACAGTTAGTTTTATTTGCCTTCCATCTTCTGAGCCTGTGAGGCACTTTTTAATCATGCGTCGTCAAGACAGATGAGGTCCATAAACGTAAGAGTTAAATCTGTGTTAGTGAAAACAGAAATTATTGTCACATTCATTCAAGAGTCGAGACCTAAACAAAACTAGCAGATCGTGCATAATGCGTGCTGAAATTGGAAGTGTTGGTAATACTGGAATACAAAAATGGTGCCTGGGTCTTGAGTTTAACTCTTGAACTTAATTCTGGCCAGAATTTGGCTAGTGGAAGTAATCCGATGTAGCAAGCCATGAAACCTGAGTGTGTATTCAGAAGTCCTTTGAATGTTATTTTTTTGATTCAGCCTCATTTCCACCATGATACTGAGTAAGACAGAAGAAAAGGGAGGAATATTTGATGTGATCTGTGAAGGCCAGCGCTTTTCACTCTTTTGGACCATCCTCTCATCTGTTAGATGAAATAGGTTCTAGCACTCGTTCTTTGAATGTGTTTCACTTTTCAGATTGCCTGAAGCAGTACATGTTCACCTCTCCTGTAGGAGAGTCAGGATCATTTTCACACTGGGTGTTTCTGTAGTTTCACACATCAAGTTCATTGCGTGGGATATCACTTTTCAGTGGCAGTAGTGGGGTGGTGAAACTCCTTTCCATCCTCTTCCACGGGAACCATGACATCATTCCCAGGAAAAGATTCTGTCTCCTGCTCTGGGTAGTGGATTTCCAGCTCCTGTTCTTCCATGTTTTCCTGGACATCGATATCACTTTCACATGCTCTGACAGCAGAGTTCTTGCCACTAGACACTTCTGAGATGGAAGTGCTTACAATGACAGTATCGGCGTTCATGATGTATATGTTTTCTGAGGAAGGAAAAAAAAGTGCTGAGCATTGTTAGCAATCACTACTGTCTCAATTGATGGTTCCTTTTCCTACAAAATTTTGATATAGTACTTATTTTTTCATTTCTTTTTTTTAAAATCAGTAGTATTCACATCTAGCCTGTCACTTTAAAAACTGTAGAATTTCTACTGTATTCACTGTAGAATTTGCTAATCCACTAAGGATTTGCAAATCACATATTATGAGTTGTCTATTTCACTGGTTATTTATAAGGTGCTTTTCATTTTGGACTCAAAGCAAGCATTGAACACACCAAGTGATCCTATCAACTACCCTGACTGGTTTTAGAGCACTGTCAATGGGATTTGAGGCATTTTAGATCAAGTAGATCTAGCTCACTGATGATGAAGGAGATGGGACTACAGGAGAAAAGGGAGTTAGAAAAGACAGTGCAACATTTGCGAGAGCCTGTTAGAAGAAACTATCAAATGATATCTGAAGAGGATAGTGTGAAGAATCGAAGGTTTATGCTTCTGCTGTTTTTAGGAAGAACAATATCTGCATTAAAAGGAGCCTTAGGACAAATATCAACAAATATCAACACTGTACAGAAATTCTGAGTAATTGACCTGGTCTTAGGACCTGCAGAGAAAACTATGTCTTTCCAATGGAGGATGAGTTACATTTTTCTTTCGAGGATACACTTGAACTAGTGTTCAAAATGTTGACCTTTCTCCTTTATCAAAGGAGTAGGGGCCCTTTGCTGTGACTTGAAGAGCTTACACTGTATTTCAAAGGATGCTGTAGATCAGACACTGCAGGTATGGTTCCCAACTGCTTGTAGATATTTGGGGATGGTTAAGTCAAATTGTCACGTTCATCCTAAGTCCATCACTCACAGAAAAAAATAGAGAGTATTCAGTAAGGAAGACTAAAATCACTTGATTTTGGAAATGAATACTATGGAGATTTTATACTATGACATGTTGGCAATGCTTGAGTTGGTGAAACACATATTAAAAGATGAAGACTGTGTGACCTGAGAAGGATGATTCAAAGGTACTGTAAAGTTCACACTGGATGCCAAAAGGCCCCAACAGACTGTGAGAGAAATTGGAAAGAAAAGTCTTAACTTCCAATTCACATTAAACTCTCTCTGAGAACCCTGTTCTATGAGCTCAGTGTAACAACTGCTCCTTTTCGTTGGCATTTGTTGGGACATTATAAGAGTGTGAATATAGTGAAACACAGAGTCTGTGGTCTCAAGCAGGTGAAACATTTTTCAGACTGTTTGATTGAGCTGCTGGAAGGGTACCATTCACTCACAAGAATCCTTTCATATTACATACATGCTTAAGAAAAAAAAAAGAAAAAGAAAAAATAAAAAAAAAAGCCCCATTTACACCTTCTGGGATCCTTTCTGGCCTGTTAGTTAACTTTTTCTGCGAGAAAGAGGCCTCCCCTCTCCCTCACTCCACACTGTACTGAGTGATCTAATTCAGAAAATGAATACAATAGCTTAAAAGTAAATTAATGGGCTGACGAGAGAAAAGGCACACTTTTTTGTAGAGACACATTTTAAGTTCACTCTCTGGGAAATGAGTGTTCTTACTTCCACGCTTGGGCACCCTCAGCCATAGAAATCTAGAGTGATTCAGATTGGAAGAAAACTCTGTAGGATGCCTGGTCTCCATGCAAAACAGAGCCAAATTATATCCTATACTTTGTTTTTAGGCCTGAATTTCCTTTAAGTGTTAATCTCTGCCTTGGATCTTTCTCTGCTACTTGTCTGATTGCCAGAGGAATGTTTATTTCAAAGTTATACAGTTTGTACCAAATTGAGACATAAGAAATAGCTACTTAACCATACAACTGTGCTAAGTTCCAGTATTTTACAAGCTGGCACACAAGCTTTGCTGTTTGTGCCCATCTTCCTTTATGAATTCAGCTCAGGGTCTGATAGAAGGAAAGAAAATATTTCGTATTCTCTGTAAGCAACATATATAGAGGATGAAAACAGAAACAGGGAATGTCAGGGAATTACACTCTTCATTTGCTTGTCCATTTCCTTTGATCATTCTGCCCCCTTAGAGAGAATTCTCTCCCCAAACAGAGAGTTATCCTTCTGCCAAAGTCTGTCCTTTGGACTGCTTAGACTAACAAAATAATCTCTTTGGTCTGTGGCATGGAAAACAAAACCTGCATTTTCTGTTTTTGCTTCTCCATATTCTGTGTACTTTATTTTACAGCAACATTTTCAAGATGAAATGCTTAAATTTTCCAATTTCTTCTGTAAACTAACATCTTTTTGGAATGAAAAAGAAGAGGAAGAACAAAGCACTTTTCTGTCAGATTGATGGGAAGCTAAGTCAATGTAAATAAGAAAGCAGCATATTCAAAAGAATAAACATGCCAAGATTCATGTTGCAAAGGCTTTGGATACTTCAGTAGTTTAGTAATAATTTCAGAAGGCTACGATGTGCCCATGATTAAAATATTGAAAAGATGAAGATAAAAAAATGCAAGACTCACCAATTCGGTTATTTGTGTGGTCTCTCACTCGAGAATCAACAGGGCCATCCAGGGCATTTCCACTGCTCTGTGTCACCTCAGTCAGATTCAGATCAGGACTACCCACTTTTTCGGTGCTGGACACCAAGTTGTTGGTTTCCAAAGGGAGGGTTCTGTCAATTAACTCCTTCTCTTCTGACATTTTGTCAGGAGTCAGCAAGATCTGTCAATATAAAGAAGAGAGTAGAAATGGGATTTAAAAAGAACACTTTGAGGACTGCAATAATCTAGAGAATCCTTCTGAGGCAGTCAGAATAACATAATGTGTCTTACATGACCACTGTCATAGGGAAAAACACTGTCCAAAGTGCCTAATTGATACAGGAATATTAGTTTCTTTCAACTAGGTTCCTGCATCATTTCAGGTCATATTTATATTCTGTTCATATGCCTAATGTCACAGACAAGTTTTCAGTGAGATTTGCAAGAACCAGCAAGCAAGTTCTATCCCTCGCTTCCACTGAAATCCTGGTTCCTGAACCTGGGTGGATACTTTGGTGAATTCCACTGCCTTGGCTGCAGCTCAGATGCCTATGTACCTTTGTAATTCCATCTATTTGCCATTTTACAAATCTAACTTAGCGAAACACTCCCAGCCTGGATGCAAATGTATAATAATTTCCAAAGAACCATGTGGCTTATAGCCCACAAGCTATACTGTTAAACCAGAAGGTGATTCATGGAAACTTTGCCTAACACCCTCCTTGTGCCCATATTATGGCTGTGTCAACTCCTGCAGAGGAAGGTGATGATCCAGAGGGAGACAGAAGAAGAGTCTGAATCCCACTCGTGTGATTAGAGCGACATGTGAAGTTCTCCCAGGGCAGAAAAGGCAGGTTCTTCCTGTGAGTTTGGCTTCTGTCCCATGGAATAACACATGAATGGCACAGGGCAAAGTCAAATACTCCACAGGCAAGATTGGCAGCAGGACAACATTTAACACCACATCAGACACAACAGGATGAAGACCAAGACATAAAAGCAACCAGTACTAATATATCTCATTTCTATGCCTAGAGAATCAAGTTACAGTAAAAAGTACAAATTAAAAGGCTGGCATTATTTAATAAAGGATTTAATAACTTTTTTTTTTAATGGAAAATAGCCTGTTTTGGAATATCTTTCACACTTACTGTGCATTTGTTCACTGCATCAGAACCTGTAATTTAGAGGAAACAGTATCAGAAGAAAAATCACAGCAACCAAAAGAATACTAATATTTGCTCTGGTATATCACTGCCATATCCTAAACCAACTAGACCTTAACCCACCTACTTTGGGCTTTCTTTACCACTGAAGATGAAGATCTGAACCAGTAACATGATGCTGCCAAGAGTGCAAAATCCTGCTTTCCCAAAACCTTTCGTGATGACCTCGTCACTCCCCTCGCCTCATCTAACAACATGATGAACTAAGAACACTTGCTAGCTAAGCTAAATAACTTACTAAAAAAAAAAAAAAAAGTGAAGAGCTTTCAACTGATTAACAAATTGAATCAGTTCATTGTGTGGTCAGATTAACACTAAAAGGTGGTGCAGAGGGGATGGGATTTTATGCATAGATAGAGGGAGGGAATGGTGGAAAAAAGCAGGAGGAAGGTGGGAGGAATGGAGCATAATGTGCCCTCCTGCAGCATGAAGCCTGGCAGGCTCAGGTTTATAAACTAACTCATCTAATGTCTAATTCTGACATGCTGCCACCTGCATTTTCCACATGCCAGCCTTTTAGTGCTGTTCAGCAACAGGATCTAATGCATAAGGCAAGCGAGAGAGCAAAAATCTGCTCAGAGAAAATTGAGCCATGAGAGGTGTTAAATCCTCAGCCATGAATGAAATGATCTAATGGAAAATGATCTAATTTACAGTGATGAGAAGAATCTGACACAAGAGTTTAGGCAGTCGGTGTAAATGCTGTGGGGGGATGAGTTAATAGGACAAATGAATGTACATCAGGGGATTTGTATAGGTTGGTGTGGCTAACACGCTCCCAGATTTTAATGCCCAGAAAGGAACAAGGGAGCTGGGTGTTTTCGGGGCCTCTCAGCACCGCATCACTCACCCACGCGGGTGCAACGGGAAAAAAGTGCCACCTAGTGGCCTGTCATAGCCAGACCATTCCCGGAATGCAGGTGACAGGGAACAGGACTGTCCTTTTTCCATGTGTTCAATTAAACTTGCATAAATTAATGCCTCGTATTAAAACTAGCCATTTATTCATCAGGCAAGATGGATTACGATTACTGTCAGTCACTCACCTTGAGAGCTGGGCCTGGATTTGTGTCTGGTGACTGTATACAGATGTGCTGATAAAAGAGACCATTCATTTAGCACAACTTGTCGTGGGGCACACGGATTATAACAGCATTACCACACCCACAGGTCCAGCTGTGAGACCAGCCAGTCACCCTGCTCACATCCCAACAACCTACCACATGCACATCCTGCTTTCCATAAAAGAGGGAGTGTGGGTGTGCAGGGACACCCAACACGTAACTTAGGCGAAGCTACCGAGCGCCTCTACCAGCAAAATCTCTCTTCCTCTCCAGCTCAGTGACATCAAGCCCAATCCCAGGAACCAACAAAAACTCACAAAGGACTTCAGAAAACACAGGTATCATTTAATTTAGTGTTGGCACTGAAAGAAGAAATCACTGGTTAACATTTTCCCACCCAGCTTGTAAATTATCTTCCTCCATAACTTTAGAACTCCTTCAGACTCTCCCTAATGCTCTCCAAGATGCTGAACAGTTTGCCTAGAACCCTGTCTGACCTGCTTTCACTGGGCACTATTAAATATCATCTTCCCCAGTGATCTCCTAAAATTTTGGGAGGTATTAGGAGGTATGTGCCATATTCCCATGTGGCTCATACTTGGAGATTAGACAGCATGCTATGGTTTATAGCTTTTAAAACTCACGCTTTCCTTTGAGGATGAGGATCCGTCTCTTGCAAACCTTCCATTTCCAAAATAACAGCATGCTCACAGGTAGTACTACCACGGAGAGAACAACTCCCCAAAGAACAACACCTATAGCACAGAAAGGGAAAGGGTGGACAGGAGAGGCCGAGAAAAGGCAGAGGGGGAACTCTTAGTATGTCTGTGTGTTTGTGGGACATCATTTCACAAGCTGCAGGGGTTTAGGGAAGCTCCCACATGAAAATAGCTTTTTTCCAAAAATATATGCAAATAAAACCTGCTAGACAGAACAAACACTTTATCTTTGTTACCTCCCCTTGTTTTCTTCCCCTTGACATCTGAAGTAGGAAAGGTGCCAGCCAGAGCTTTCTCCTCAGCAGTTGAACTGGGGTTTTCAGCCGTTGTGTCACTTAGAGTTATACTTGCAATGGTCACCAGCTTCTCAAGCGTGAGCACATCAGAGCTATTTGTTCTATTGCTTAATCTCACAGACAAAACACCTGAGGTGAGGTAAGTGGGAGCTTGGTCCATGCAAACTTGATCGTGCGTGGCATTTCCTTTGCTCACTGCTACTTTGTTTAACTTGGCACAGCTAGGGAATGAAAGAGAACAGCGGATGAGCATTAGAGGAAATCACATGGCAGAAGATAAGAAAGCCACTTCCTATGGGACAAACATCCCTTCGGTCATTTTTGTGCCAAGAGAATTTGTTTGTTTTTAGTGACAAGGTCACTAACCCTTTCCTCATCCTTATGGCACTGTTGCTGGAGCTGCAAACACAATATTCACATTTCTGCATACTCTCACTGTACTCAATAAGCTAAAAAGAAGGCAAGAAGGATCCTTGCTTTCCTCTTCAACACCAAACTGTGCAACAGATATAGAAAGAGGCTTTCTAAACTCTGTGCATGGACGCAAAGCTCTCAAATAAGCCTCTCCACTTTGCACCAGAGGAGCTGACATGTCTCCCTTCAGCTTTATTAGCTTTAGGTCTCCTTTTAGGTCCTTTATTAGCTTTAAGTAATTAGTTAGTCCCTTTAAAAAACTATGGTCTTACTCAGTATGAGGCTTGCAGATGTCCGTGCTGGAGCTCTGATCAGAGAAGGTCCCAGGAGGGCACTCTTCACAAGAAACATCAGTTGTTGAGGTGCCTGAAGAAAAATAAGCAAGCGAGAATCAACCCAAATGCTCCGGGTTCAGGCCTAGGGCCAGGATTGGAATATGGGGGAATTTCTACCTTTGACTTTGACTCCAAAACCAGGCTTGCAAACAGTGTGCTGCTGGCATCGCGCGCAGGTGTTCTCAAGAGGCATCTGACAGAACAGGCCTGGTCGGCACTCACACACACGGCTAGAATTGAAGGAGCAGGGGGCTTTTTCCACAAGGTCATACTCTGTATGGAAGAAACTATCAGAGTGAGAAGGGATCTTGCAGGATCACCCTGCAAGGGAGAGGCAAAGAGGGGCCCAAAGCTGAGCAACATCACTGCAAAGACTCAGGATACTGAACAATCCTAAGTCATGAATAATTGGGGAAGCCTGCAGACAAAATCTGCAGATAAATGTTGTCTAATATAAGACAGAAAGTAGAAATTAAACCTGGATGGCATTTTCAGGCAATCGTAGGAAGTGACACTGATTATGTGCAAGGTAACATTCTGCTCTCTAAAACAGAAGTCAAGGCTGGATAAGTCTAGTACTGAAAATTCTACTTACATAAAATATAAGCATAAGTAAAATATACAGAGAGGATATCACTGTGTGAAGTATGTGTGATGGAAAGCAAAGCAACTACCTTTTGCACATGATACACAAGCATCACATCGTGGCTTCTGGGATGCCTCGCTTAGATATTGTTCAGGTCCACACCTCATGCAGTGACGTGGGTCTGTGGGACACGCTTTCTTTTTAACATAGCCTGCAGGAAGAAAACCAAAATATGGAGGAAATGCATTCTGAAGTACAAGAGACAGCCATCCTAAAGTGTTAATGTATACTCATTTACCTGTTTCACCTGCTACCACAGTCTTCTCTTGATACTTGTCCCTTGATTTTTCAAACACATTCTTGCCTTTCCCATTCATGGGATCATTTGTCCCATTACAGTAACACTACACATGGTAACATCAAGGTCATTACTATGGATTGTTGTGTGCCTGACTTGAGTGGGTTACAGATGGTGAAGAGGGGAAAAATAAAACCAAGTTTCAGCACATAGCCTGCATCACCCAGTCAGAAATGGTTAACAACAGGGAGGGGAAACCTGGCAGATAAATGACCTGCCTAATAAGCGTTTTGGCAAACATGGTGTGGGAGTGCAGGTAAAAACAGCTATGCTATATTTAGCCCACTAAATACCACCAGACAAGCCTGAAACATGTCACTTCCACCTCCTCAAAACTACTTGTCTGAAACTATTCTTGTCAAGGTGAGGGCTGATTGCTGAGATGGTCTGAATCTCAGCACTTGAACTGCACATGTGTACCTGCATGTGTGTCATGTCCCTCCTCCCAATCTCCCAGAAACTACAACCCTAGTTCTTTGAAACTTCCTGCACATACGGATCCCTCTTTTGAGGGATGTGTGCTCCAGGTTCAGTAGCTTTGAAGCTTGCCTAACAGTGGCTTTTCAAGCTATCCTCCACTCGGTGCCGGCAGATAAAAGCCTGAGCAATAACCTGTACAAAAGAAAACATAATCAAATTAGGTAGATGATATGGGTGTTTTTCTTTTTTGAGCATGTGCATTCGTTCACTCCTGCGGAATTGCCATTAACTGTGAGTGGGAAATTATTGGAGTGCTGGTAGCAGCACTGTCCTGTGGAGCTGAATTTCTGATTTAGAGGCTAAAACAAGCAAAGCAGATAGGGACAGGTTTCTGCTTGGAGCAGCAGTGGGGGATTAGAAAGAAAAAGTCTATTATGAGTGTCTGTGGATCTGAGAATGGGAAGTGATGTCCAGGACTGACACACGAGGATGTGGCAAATGCCCAGAGACCCTGCCAGGACATCTGTCATTGTGTCCTTGAGGAGAACAAGGCCTCTTTACTTCGGATCAGCTCAGCTTCTCTGTCCCTTGGTCTAGGTTACTCCAATGTCCTTTGAACAATTCTAGTGGTGTGCTCAGGAATAGTGTGGGATGTGCCAATACAACTTCTTACAAATGCTAGCAAACCAAGCTTGAATCCTTTCTTTATTATGAGAGCATAAATAATGTCAAAAATTTTCCTTTCAAAAACAAAAGAAAACATTTCTAGAACAAGAAACGGGTGGTGAAGTACCATAAAATGCCCCACTCACCGAGGGGCTTTTTGGCCAACAGGGGGAGTTTCAGACATTTCCAGGACTCTTTTCTCATCGAGGTATTTTCTGCTTCTGACCTCATGTGCCTTTGAGTCATGGCTTGGCTTCTGACAAAGTTTATTCTGTCCCCTGAAAAGAGGTTGTTCCCTTTCTCATGCAAGACCCTTTCTGAATTAAACTATGGAACATTTTTCCACACCATCTTTCTATACTTTTGGTGTATTTTTAGCTTCATAATTTCACTGATCTATTGCATGCTCTGAGACAAGCTGAAATGAATTCTTAGACCAGTCTACTTCTAGCTACTTCTCAGTGTTGAGTACTCTATTTTAGAGCTTCTCTGTATACAGATTGAACAAGAGACCAGGCACTGGAAAACCAAATTCATAACTGGATTCATACCAGAGAGTAATTCACAAAACTGCACTTTTCTTCGGGGCCAAAATGCAAATCTGCAGATATACATATATATATATATATATGGCTTCTAGTATCTCTAATGGAAAGCTTGTATTAATTTGACTGTATTATAAACATACTGACCTGGGGGACACTGGTAACAACAGCTTCGTGAAGCTTCATCGTAGAACCAGTTCTCACGTGTGTCACATGAATGAGATGGAGTTAATGATGTCTAGAAATTTGAACAAACCAAAGACACAATTAGAAAACATTAATTGTTGTATGAGGGCAGATACCAGTATGCTGCTGTTAGTGATGATAGTTGCAAACGGCACAGGAAAGTCTACAGCTTTTTGAAAGTCCATGTATCCCAGAAGCAACTAGATTATTACTGCACATAAACTTAAGCAAAGACTGCAATATTCAATATATTTGACAATGACTCAGTATGTATCTTCATTCAGGAGGCTCTTCCTCTGAATGTGATTTAAACATAGGATCAGAATACTGTTGTCCAACCTGTGCATCAAGCATCTCCACAGTCAGAAGTCAAATCCTTCCTTCATACAATATATGAGAACTGGTATTGCCCCCCGCCACCAAAATGGTTTTCAACCCAAAGCTCTAGACGGCCTTTTGATTGGCTGCAGGGCCAATCAAGGTCACCAAGAAATTCTTGCTAATTGTTAGAATAGTTTGCACCTTCCAAGAAATCTTGTACCAGTTAGCTAGAAAATAAATTAATTAAAAAAATTACAAAAATTACAATTCCTAAATCATTGCATTTTAATTGAGGGTGGAGATTTTGCCTTGAAAGGAATACTACAAATTCTTATTTACACAATGAAGTCATTTATTCAAATAACTAAAACCATTTCTTATGTGAGTAAAGGTTTTCAGGAACAAACTTTGATTTGACAACGTGACTGATTCTTGTTCAGACAGGAAAAAAAAAAGCTCTAATATTAGCTTAAGAAAAAGACTCAGCTATGAAATACATCAAGATGCAGATACTCAGACTGCACTTCGGTATGGCAGAGGCCATTACACACTCTGGGAAATTACAGTGCTAAAGGTTTTCTGATGAAGAAATCAGATTTTTGAATTTGGCATCTCCCTTAATAACCCCGTAAAAATGTTATCTGAATTTCATTTTCAGTATTTGCTAGAAGATATAACTGGTGACTTTTTGTAGAGAGACCAGCAGGCTACCCAGAGATTTTCCTGTGTGATAATGCTAGAACAGCTAACAAAGATTTCAGCAAACCTACATCCTGGTTTCTGCAGGTGAATTTCCCATTACTGTTAGAAACAAAAGCTATGATTTCCTACTGCCTTTGTTTGCTGGGCATAAACTTAATAGTCAATTAATCTCACAAGCATATTCTGCTATTTAATACACTGGCCTTCCGTGGTGGGAGTATAAAAAACAGAAGTTAAATAACTTGTCAAAGGTTACATCAGAAAACAGGAGCTTTCAGTCAATACAGAAATTAACAAAAGGACTAGAAATAGAAACATACTGAAACCACTAAAATTAATGCAGGTCCAGTAATAGAACTAAGAGATCCTGCCTGACACATTTCTGCACTAACCACATAGCCTTGCTGCAAAGCATTTTTTTTTCTAGCTTACTGTATAGAGGAAATAGCAGATGTCTCCCTCACCCTGATTCACATCAAGTTTACAAATGTGTAGCCTTTATTTTTCTTTTCCAGATAGATAGCCTTAGTCTGTAGGAAAAGTTGAAATCTCCTTGCTTCTGTGTGGAGGAGCATCCCGGTTAGGCAGCAATAAATTAAATTCTTCCTGGTTCTCCTGTGCAACCAACCCTGGATGCAAATGAGGCTGAATTTTAAATCAGGATAGGAATAAAGAATTTATGCAAAATATAAGATCACATCTTATTTAATTACCTCTTCTCAGGTTTAAATAAAGGAATAGTGTCTGTCTACAAGTACGAGGAAGGGACTACTATTTGCTTAAAATCTCAAATCATCAGTTCACTATGAGATTCTGCCCCTTGCTTCAAGGACACAAATCCTGATTGCAAATTTGCCTTGATGATAGTGATGTGATAAATTATTGCAAGAGTTATGCATAAATAATGAAAATACACATGTGGAAAGAGAACAGGCAACATATTTCTTTTCTTTCCACAAGAGGGCAGCTAGATATCATGGCCATTTATATAGCATATGAAATCTGCTACATCACAGTAATGAAGCTTCCAAGAACCCAGTTAAGAGCTCATCACTGCAGCACCCTTTCTGTTCACTGAACCAAGCCCAAGATGCTCTGCTGGAAAAAGTCATTTTAACAAATTTCATAGTCATTATGGATGAGGAAAAAGCCCTCTGAAGAACCCACTACTTTTAATTCATAGTTACCCACACAATATATTTGAGAGTTTGCCATCTGTTCAGCTGGCACGATTCAGAACACAAAACCTGCTGCAGTTCCCTTCAGTAATAAACAACATACACTTCCCACTCTGCACGATGGCTTCCGTTCTTATCCAAACATAAAGTTGTTTGGTTCCTACTCTTACCTGTCTGGGCTGTGCAATGATGCAAAGCTCTGCTCTTAAACTAAGCAGAGAGGCTGTCCCTTTGGAGATAGCATACTTTATATTAAGGACTGGAATATAAATAAAGCCCATACTTCTAGTGTTTCGGCCTTCGAACCTCAAAACAAATTGCATAAGCAAAACTGTCCCTGGTGGAAGTCAAGTGCCACTAAAACCTACATGGGTTTTGCTTCTCTAACATGTTTGAGGGTTTTCATGAGCTCAGTCTGAAGATTTCATGCATCCAAGGTAACAAAAGGAAAGCTTCTAGTAAGAACTCCCAAACCCTGGCCAAATTGGTCACTGGCCACTGGCCACTGAAGCAAACGGGTGCTGAAAGGCATCGAACGTATCTTGCAAAAGGGGCAGAGGTGAAGGGCCAAGCTCTCACAAGACTGCAAATCTTTCCAAAAATGATGGTGCCAACTCATTTTCTGCAGAGGTTTGATCCAGCTACACTTCGGGAGAGAGGGAAGGGGTGACGGGCATACAAGGATAATGTGTTTCCTTTTTTCTGTCTATGTGTTATGAATATCAGGGTGATAAATGAACAAAAATAAGTGATAACCAAAGACATGAAGTAAAGAGGGAACAAACACACGCATAATTATTGGGTAGCAGTAGGCCTGGACCGAGGCAATTTACTCACCCAGCATCTGAAGGGGGGTATTACCTCAGCTTTACCATCTGCAACCGCTCTACCCATATGTAAAATACTTCTTCCTACACCTCATCTGCAATTAGAGTGCAAGTTTGCAGTAAAACACTGTCTTCTTCTTCTCTGTCTTTTTTTTTTAAGAGCTTAGTAGTTCCAATTAGGAAGATGTTGCTGAAAACAAGTAATTTCTACCTTAAAAGGGTGGTATGGAGATGGAACAAGAAAATGGGAGAAAAACAGCTGAGCTCACTCAGTTTGAAATGATCACGAAGATTCTCCAACCAATACATTCCTCTAGAACCAATCCCCCCATGTATTCACACTCTCAGTTGAATTTTTGACATTTATTATGCTCTATTTTGTGTATCTTGCAACATGGCAGAGAAACTTGCTGAAGTACCTCTACGTGAACTGGGAAGAAAGAGCAAACCTTTCCTGATCACTATTTGTAACTGGTAAAACCTGGGCCTATTGCCTTTCACAAATAGCTTAATGCAAGTGTGTACATAACTTTTACTTCAAAAGGAAAAGAGAGAGCTAGACATCTGTTATTTACAATGGCTTATCCCAGGGCAGAGTTCATTTCTTAGCAAGCCCTCTCAAGATACTATGCATAAAACTTAGGCTGAACTATAAAAGTACTTCCTGGGTAATCTTGTTACTGGCATTGTGGTTTTCTGTTTTTTTTTCTGTTTGGAATATTTTTTTTTCCAGAGAAATCTTGTGTTTGCAACATTAATCCAATTTTATAGAAATCTTTCAGCAAATATCAAATATCTTTGTTTTCTCAAAGCCAAAATTAAACTTTTTTCATGGAAAGTTCTTGACCCTAGACATCTCTGTTTCATAAATGACTGCAAGATCTCCATGACGGTGAAAATTTACGGCTATTTTCTCATGAGAAATTCTCATGCTTGAAAAGCAGCAGGAGTCAGCTTTATATAGGTAGCTAAATTCATTTTGTTACCGCTCCATGCTCTGACCTGAGTGAGTTTCTACTGTCTGACTAGTCCAGGAGAGAGCTTGGATCTCAGAACTTACAGATTCTGTTCTCTCGAGCTCTTCCTATGCAACTTAAAAGTGTCTTTCTGTTCCAAAACCTGGATAAGCAGTTCATGGTAGGGTCATCCCATTCTGCTTTTAATCTAGACAAAAGCAGAGGAAAAAACAGTTGTTTTTTAATGCTGTGGCTATACAGGCTACTGGTGACAGCATAGACCGATCCTGTTTAAATAAGCGAAATTTTTGGAAAAATTCTGATCACCAGTAGCAGTATTGATCTCCGCAGCACACATATATATTAAGGTAGAGCTGTTCTGAGGGGCAATAGTGGGAGCCAGTATGTTCTGAGTTTCCTGTCTTCTGGCTGAACGGTTGCTCAGCCAACAGTGGAAAATAAAATGACCCTTTCGTCAGCAAAGCATTGATCAGAATAGAGATCACCTATATGAGGGGAGAAAATCATGAAGCCAGTGAGAAAATAAAGGGAAAAATCATGTAAAAAGTTGTGCTTTGTCATATGAGGGATTAAGAAGATAACAATAAAAAGGAAAAATTACTGGCGGTCAAAAAAAAAAAAGTGCACTTATGCTCCTATTATACTCCCTGTCGGCCCAATCTCAGCATTAAGACATTTCTGGTTGTGAGTATTCAGATCAAATGAAGCATGCTTTCTATAAAATGGTGAAATAAATACATACATTTAAAATACAAAATAGCAAAGTCTTCTGCATTGAACTATTACCACATATGAGCTTAAGTCAAAGGTCCTTTCTTTTACATATTCTAGGATGACAATGAAAATATAAAATTGTCTCAGGAAGAAGCAAACAAACAAACAAAAGCTTAATTACAATGACTCAAGAGTGTATAATTATCACTAATTTATCCGGAGTAAACCCAATTAAATTAAGTCTTTTTTCTAGGCTGAAGCTGAAGGTTAAGGTGACTTAGCTGGTCCTAATTGCGCCTAAATAACTCTTGAAATGAAAGGAAAAAGCAAAGAAGACAGAAGAAAATCAACTGATTATTGCAAAACTTCAATGCTACCATCTTCTAGAAAAGAAGCATCAGCTGTGTGTGCTGGAGGGTTTTACCTTCTTGATTCCACAGTGTATAATCTCTGTAGAGCCCACAGAGAAGAAAGTGGTCAGAAATTGTCTGGTTATAGTGTTGATCATTTTTCCTGTCTCCAATAAGCTTACAGAAATTGTCAATTTGCCTGGGAGAGAACATTTCCCTTCATCAGTTTTGCTCCTTACTACTTACTTTGTAGTGCAGGATTTGTGAGAACTTTCACTTCTGCCCAGTGTCATCATCTTCCTCCTTGAACACTTCCTCCAAGCACTGGGGAGTGTGGTATAGCTTATATTCATCATCAGTAACTAGCATCTGGCTTTGCTTCATCAAGGACATTTCCAAAAAGCTTTACAAAGCAAAGTCAAGTTATTCTCCTCATCTCTAAAAGGAACAGAATGAAATGCAGTAAACTCAAAATCTTGTTTTAATTGATATCCAAAGTATTTGTTCTCCTTTCATCTCTTGTCCTTTCTTTGTTACCTGCTTTCTGATTGAATCTCAAAACGCAAATCTCGAAGAGATTAAATTCTCGAAGATTTGGTCAGTGAAATGCAAAAGTCACACAATTTCACTTTTTAAGGCAGTTTCTGCACCATCTGCTAGTGTTCCCAGAAGGAGGAATTGGATACCATCCAATCTCGATGAAGAATTGGATTGGATCCAATTGGATTGGATTGGATCCAATTGGATGGGATACCATCCAATCTCGATGAAGAAACCCCACCTCATCTCAGTGACAAAGTTCTGTTTTCTGAATTTGTGAAGCTGCACTTTCTGTGGGTTACTGCAGTGAAACAACTCATCCTGTGGCTGCAAAATCACTTAATTCAGGGTATGAGAGCTTGTGTTTTTGTGCAGCCATAAATAGGGCCTCCCCTTTGACAGTTCTCTGTTGGCTGACACAGCTATAATGTGAAACCTTGCAGGCATTATTTCTGCATTTATAGACCATATCGAAATTGATTTGATCGTGATAGCATTTGGGGACACAGTGTAGAGTTGATGCTGCTTTATGCCCATTATGGGAGAAAAGATAAGTATTTGAACTATCAAGAAGCTAGGCTGGTATAGAAAACAAACCCTGGTGTAGCTGAAAACCTGCCACTATGAAGTTAATCTGTCCACCTTCTTGCAATAAATTTAAACAGGACATCAGTTTATGTATCAGATCAGTATTTTGCTTCAGTTTTTGGTCTATTGCAAGGACTTCTTAAGCTGGATTTAGCGCACTGTTCGACTAGAGACTGAATTTCATTATTCTTTTTCTCACTGCAGTCAATGAAAGGTTTTGATGCAGCAGGAAATGGATTACCTGCTCAGAAAGAAAATCACAATTCACATAATGTTGGGAGTTCTCCATGACAGGATGGCTGGAGATCCCTTGAGTGAAAACCTTTAGAGACCTGACAAACCAGTTTTATTTACTTATTTATTTACTTATTTAGGCATTGCAGAGCAAGACCCAGTTAACTAAGATGAGCATGGATTTCAGAGAGGGCATTTGGACTTTTCATTTTTCTTCTCTTTTTTTTTTTTGGAGAGAATTTGTTTTAGAAAATAGGTTCTTTATAGCTCTTCTCATTATTCTTTTATCTCCAAATACATTTGCTATCCCAATTTAAATAATGGCCATGGCGAACATGGTGTTGAATTCAGTGAGCTACTCTGCAATTCAGTCAGGACTGAATTCATTTTGACTCACTCATTTATGGGCTTCTGATCTCATAGAGAAAAAGTGATGGTGAGGCAGAGTAAGAAACTATCTTGCTACAGATGAGCTGTAAGTCAGGAAAAAAGCATATTACGGTAAAAATAAAATCTTCTACCAGCATTGGCTGTTCTAGAACTGACTAATGCTGTAGCAGAACAGTTGACTCCCTTTCAAACTCCTATCAAAATTCTGACACTGTTAAAGTCAGAAACTGATAATTTAAGACTTTAAGTATTTGTTTTGTCTACTTGATAGGAGACAGTATTATGTGAGAATTAACTGAATATTAGAATGAACAAGATGCAGATGAAGTAAGGAGGAATATAGTTTAAAATACAGACAATTATTGCTTTCCAGTAGCAGCAAAAGCAAAGACTGCTATGACAGACACAATACAGAAGCATAATGAAATCAAAACACTTATCCCAGCAAGATCTAACTATATATCTTAGGTATCTTTCTTTTAATGCCTTTCCTTCAAAGCAGTTTGCATACAGCAGAACGGATATACTTACTTAAGTGCCCCCCTAAGTATTCCTCAAGGGAGAAAAAAATGCAGATTCCAGTCCTATAGAATAGAGGAATCACTAAAGGAAGGAGATGGTGGCAGGGCAGATAATCAGGGAAATGTAGAGCAAACTTGTAATGTGGGAGGGGAATTTACAGTCAAAGACAACAGGCAAAACTCCTACTCTTACCAAAAGATGAGGATGATCATTTGCAAATGTATGTGAAGAAAATGCAGGACACAGTTATTTTCAAAGAGCTAATTAAATTAGAGTCAGCCTAGGTAAAATTTTCCTGGCAGCCCAAGTGGCACACAATATCGTTTATTTACAAAGCACGGGCAGGTATTTCAAGCTGTCACATGCTTCTATTCCCACTGACAGGAAAAACAACTTCAGGAACCAATCTGGTGTGCAGGCAGATACTTACTTAACTTTACCTATGCAAAGAGCTTCTGAGACTTTGATCTTTTTTTTTTTTTTTAAAGAGTTGTGCATAAGTGTCACCTGGAAGAGTTACCCAGATTTATGCCAGGCATTGAGGGCTCACTGCTGCATGATCTACAGGAGAGGGGGAACAAGCCCACAAGAACTGAAATGATGTGAGGAGGGAGTTAGCTTGCACCTACAGCATCACCTGAGTAGGGGGCTATGTCTGTTTTAAGTTAATCTGAAGCAGAAATCCTGGCCCATTCATGAGGAAGTCAGGGTCAAAGGAGTGGGTAGTTGTAAAGAGGAAGGTATTTCATTGTTTTGTTTGCCTTTACACCTCTTGTTTGGCCAAATCAGACTCACCAGCAGAGAGAGGAAGCTCTGGGAGCCAAGCTGTGCAAGGAACATGTCTGTCAAACAGCACCTGGCCCCCCAGCAAAAATAAAAGCCCCTCACCCCAAGCAAATGAGAACACCCTTTCCCCTCCCTGCAACAAATCCCTCCTTATTTCCTAGCTGTACCTGGAGGGGCAACACCATCAAACCCAACAAAAAGCTGTGGACTACCCTGAGCTGCTGCCCGTGGAGGTCCTGGTGGTGACAAACTCTCCCGCATGCTCCGTGCAAAGGCACCTTCACACCCTTATTGCACTGTGCAAAGCTCAGACACCCCCTCATGCACCCAGGGGCAGCAGAACCCCCCGCAGCCCTCCCGAGCCCACGCGCATCCTGCTGCCCTGCCTTACCTGTGGGGCTGCCTGGATGTGGGGAAGCAGCAGCAGGAGCCGCAGCGCCGGGGCCAGCCTGCGGGCAGCCATCCGCAGCGGCAGCGTCAACTCTCGCCGGCTCCCAGCATCGCCGGCCGCGGAGCCGGGCAGCTCCTCTGGGACGGGACCCCGGGAGCAGCCCCGGGGCCTGGCCCAGCCTCGCTGGGTGCTTCAGGGCTCTGCTTGCTCAACCCTCCAAAGCTGCCACAGCCATCCAAGAGGCGGCTTTGAGCCTCAATCAAGCTGAGAAAACAGTTTGGAAGGAAGGGGAAGGGGGGACGTGCCCAAAAAAGAAAAACAAAACAAAACCGCGTCGATCACTAGTCCCGGAGGGTTTGGCAGGTTTCTGCAGGTTGGCTGCGTGCGTTGAGGTTGCCACACGAGGAATGCACTGGCTGTAGAGAAACACAAGTCCCTGAGTCATATAGGCTGCCCTCGGCAAGCACTTCACCTCCCCAAAGCCTTGGCCAGGCATGGCTCCAAGCCCTGCCCTGGCTATTTGCCATGCTGAGCTGAACCAAATCTCAAGAGAGTTCCCAGTAAAAAACACACTTTTTTTTTTCAGTACAGTCATTTTACTCCTGTTTGAATGAGTGTGTGAAATCTCACAACCACATGGGGTAACTCTGGCAAGGTTTAGGCTTTACGTGTTATCATTTAAAAACTTACATATCACAGAGAGTTCTCTTGAGAATCTGTCTTCATTCTTCCAATCCCAATTCCTGTTGCTGACAATTGTCCCTTGGACTGTCACCTGTCATTTGGCTCTCTCTGATTTCTAATGCTGGATGACATTTAGTTGCTCCAATGCCTGGAAAGATTTCAGTTGCTTTAAAGTGTCACTCATCTTTCTTCTCTGCTCTAAAAGTTTTGACAAAAGTAAAAGTTTGCCACTTCAAAAAGGACAGACTGCCTTGAAAACCACTCTGAGGTGCTCAGGGAAATAATGAGAATTTGTGTTCTCACACCCATGCTTTCTTTCCTCCTCTCACCCTTATCACCAAGAAGAAATTATACGAGACTGAAAGTGGGATAATTCATCCTTTTATTGAAGACCCACAGCCACTTCATTGACACTACAACAGAGTACCAAATAATGAGAGGTTTCTGGGAGAGTGTTCCACAAAGATCCTGGAATGATGCCCCTATCTTCTACTCATACCTGTTACCCTCTTCTTTTTAACCTGCTACTTTTACTTTTTCTCCAGCATCTTATTTTATAAAAAAGGCATATTTTGCATACTTGTCACATACTTCTAAGTTCAACCTCCTTCCATCAGTCTACCAGCTTATTTCTTGACTTCTAAATTCTCTTAGATATAAAAACTGATTGTGGCAGATACACTTTTGAGGTAGAGACAGCTAAGCATATGAGCGTCCAAATATTACATTTTTTTTTCCTGTCTAGTTAAAAAGTCTTCTGGAAACTATCTTAACCTGGTGCTGTAACATGACGTTAGGCAATTTTCCTGATTTGTGGAGTATTGTTTTAAATGGCAAAAGGGGAGTCTGTGAACTCTGTCCTGTTTTTATTGTTGTTTTTTTCTCTGATCAGCTTCTGTCGATGGCAAAAAGACAGGAACCAACATAACATACGGCCTAGAAACATTCTATCACAGACGTGATTTAACCTCTGTCCGTTTTACTACTGAGGCTAATGTATTTGATAACAAGAACAACCCTACAACAAAAAATATGAGTATAAAAAAGCATGTGTAGAAGACTTTCCCAGAAGGAATGACACAGAGGGGGGATTTGGCCTGTCTTATTACAGAAATAAGGTTAAAATTAGCACACTGAGCAGTTTTTGTATGTTCATGCACCAGATCCTTTTTAACAACCTAATATTATTAAATTTTCTAATTATTCAGTTTTCTTTTTTATTTTTCTATCAGAAAAACCAAATTTGGCTGAAGATACAGATTTTTTGTAAGGTTTCACAGAAATAGACGATTAGGATAAAAAGGAAAGTTTCTAGTAATGCCCCCATTGAGGGAAAGGCTGCAGTGAAGCTTGTGCTGCTTAGACAAGAGAGAGCTCATCCCACATATCCAAAAGGAAATCAGGCTTCCCAGCTCTGAGAACTTCTTGTTCTTAAATTCATTTCTCGATCAAACTAGATATAGTAAAAGGAGGGAAGTAGAAAGCACTCATTTTGCTGCTGGCTTTTTGGAAAAGCTATTATAGCACAAAATGCTATTATGAGTCTGTCATAAAGCCAACAGCAATTAAGAGGTTGTGTTTAATAAGAATGTTCCAACCTGTATGCATTTTAAGTAAATGCATTAATTTCAGACTTCATTTGTTTTGATTTCATTCAAATACAATAAAAGGGGCTTTCCAAAAGGAGCCATATCCGGAACGGGAAGAAGCACCTCTATTTTAAAACAAACCCACACTATCATTCTCAAAATGTTGCCTGGGTTTCCTAGAAAATAATCCTCCATGTTAATATGAAAAATAATAAGAGAAAACAGGAAAAAAAATAGAAACAGACAAACCCCCCATTCCTGTGTTCTTCCACCAGGGAATGTTTAAAAAAAAAAAAAGAGTCATTAGGAATATGACATTATTATTTATAATACTTGTTTGGTAACATGCATCTGAATCTCCTTTTGGTTTAGATGTTAAAAGTAGCACTGCTCAAGGAGAAGACTGCCTGCCATTGTAAGTGAACTGACGTACTAAGTCTTTCTGGAAATCATTCAGCAGCCCCAAGAGGACAGAAGGGAGACCAATACTGGTGCACCATGATCTTTCTGAGAAATCTGAGACATGCTGCTTAGCAAGCAACCAATGGAGTTGGTTGTAGTTGTCAAATTATTCAAACTTATTTGAATGTGCTAAGAAAAAAAAGTCTAATTTAGGTCAAGTGGGCCTCAGATTTGTTAGATTCCATCTCTCTACACTGCTCTGATTATGATACTAATTTTGTGGCTCATACATTTTCCTTATCACCTGTATTAAATATTTATCAGTCCATTTAATTGTGTCCCATGTTATACATTAAATACACCACAGTCATTCTTGATAACATGATCTGCAGAGCTATACTGATTTAGCAATTTACCTTCATGTATTTGTCCACTGTGATGAGTGAAGAGGATGGTACAGGGCTCTTGTTGTATCTATGACTTAAAACAGGAGCTTCCAGTAGGAAAAAATCAGTTGCAATCAGCTCAGGCCATAATAAAATCCCAAAACGTCGGGGAAATCCCACATCATTTCAGTTACTGTGGTTTCTTGTTGATGGGCATTTTCAGAGAGTTTTGTTCTCTAGTAAAAGTAATAGAAAAAGAAATCAACTTTCTTGCTTCATATAAAGTTTCACAAACATGCAAGCCTACCATCCAAAATAAAAGAAGCACAGATTAGTTCTTGTTTGCTTGCAGCTGGGGACTTTTGCCTCAATCAGCTGTGCTCTTGCTGAGCAGAGAGTTTCTTGGCAATTACCAGCCAAAGGAAGGAGATGCATCCTGGTCTTTGTTCCTGAGAAACACTGAGGTTATGTAGTGTCAGTAAGAAACCTTAGTAAGGTTTATTACAAGATATAATGTCAAAAAGTACCTATGTGAAACAGCCAATACCTGATTGTAGAAAGCTTAGAAATTCTGTCAGTACTAGTTGTTCTTGATGACTCTACACCTTAACGTAGTTGTTGCAATAGTTCTTTAGAAAGCAGAGGATATAGTTTCTTTAGGAAAAAAAAAAGGAATCTTTGCCTCTGATTTTAGACTTACTGCAAGAAGTTCTACTTCAACCAAGGTCTGAAAACTCGTACACACTAAGCCCTTAGACTCCTTTTGTGTGTCCTAGTTTTCTTTCTACTTACTTCCATGTGAGTATCTCCTGAGTTTAAATAGTACAACATATTGTAGTGCTGCATTCTTGCCATCCAGACACAGCAAAGTCACTTTTGGCAACTGCTGTACTTAAAAGTCTCAGATATCTGCAAGAGTAACTCTGCACTTCTGCTAGGGGAGATTTGCACTCACGGTTTATATGCAAAACTATATATAATGATATGTCTGCCATTTTATTCGCTTTTTGATTGTGTTGAGTCATTCAGAGCTTTGATCGAAACAATTTAGTTAGAATATGTGTCATACTGACCATCTCAACAATAACGATAACAGGACTTTACTTTCAAATTAATTTCTTCTACAAAGGTCATTTACATAAAACTGGTGTGGTTAAAACAGTCTTCTTACCCTATATTTGTCCTCCAAACTAATAATACTACCTTAATAAAGGTAGTAAAGGAAAGGTAATAATGAAATAATTAATATTATGAAAATATCTTTTTTTTTTCTGGTGCAAGTAACTTCAAAACCAAAGTGTATTTTGAGTCAGACTGAAAAATGAGAAGAGCTGACAGAGAACTGTATGCTATCAGGAAAAACTTGGCTTCCATGAAAGAAACCAAAACTTTATCACAGAATTACTATGCCTACAGACTGGCTGAGAGAAAGACGACCTTAGAAGAAAGATCTCATCATGTCTGTACTTTCAGTAATTCTGACTGCAGCTTCTGGAAGAGAATGACAGATTCATATGTTGTCATTCTCCACAGAAAAAACTCTTGACAGAGATTTTACTATTTAAATGTCAGTTCTTTTACACCCTTCCTCCCTTATCTCTCTAGAAATAGAGAAGCTTGAGTGAGCATCCTCAGAAATCAAAATGGGCAGCGCCTTGATAAAGACAGCAGTAAAGGAAGCTGGGGGGTGATAAAGATCAGCCAGATTTGGATATCACATGAAGGCTGAGGACTTCAATTCATGCCCTCTCTTCCATTTATGCTACACTAACACTTACACATTACTAACTACCACAGTTAATTTAATTCAGAAGTATTTTCTCCTGTTGGAATAACCATATTGTTACCTTAAATGATCTACAACATTTTAGGCTCCTCTGCCCTTTAAGAAAAGCTGCCATTGATGGTGAATCTATTTGATTTCCACCAAATCCATTCCCCCTAAGCACTCTTGAGTCCCTCACAGCTGCTAAGGCTGCATCTTCACACGTTCTGACCTGGTTTCAGGAGCAAAACCTGAACCTTTGTTTATAGCAGTTTCTCCTCACTAGGATGTGACCAGGAACTGGAACCGAAAAGAGGAAACATCTCCCCTCTGCACTCAGGAAAAGCTTCATCCTGAAATTTTGGAGAGTGTTCCATATATTTCATTTAGAGAAGACAAACAGAATCAACTGAAAGAATGGAAAAGTTTAGACTGGAAGAAACTCATGAAGACTGGAGAGAAAAAATCAGCTCACTAGAAAGAGGACAGTTACTGAGAGAAGCTTGACTGACTGGATATTATGATCAGCTCACTAGAAAGAGAGAAGCTTGACTGACTGGATATTATAATTTGAAACTGTATTAGAGGGAGTGGGCATGTGCAAAGAAATTTTAATGGTAGCTTTTCTTAAAATTTGAGTATTTGACTTAGCACCTTTAATAGTGTTCTTGTGTCCCGGTGTGGATGTTTTGTTCAAGATTCACTTGCTCATTAAAGCCTGATCCATTTTTCACTTGCAGCTTTTGGAAGCTGCTATTCTTCTGCGAACATAATCAAAAAAGAAACTCTTGCCCTCAACAATTTCCTGTCCATAAGTTCCTGCAGAAGATGTTAAACAAATAACATTTGTGAGAAGTACTATCAAGTGAGAGATCCAAGAATAAGACAGGGCCAAAATGAGAGGTGAAAGAGGCTTTTGCAGAGCCTTGTCATTTCACAAAGATCTGTTTTCAGATATTTTACTGGTGTGAACTGAACTGACAGAGAGGCCAGGTTCATTTACTTCAGCAAAGTATTTAACCCCTGAGGTTCATCTGTAATAAGCAGTTCCCAGCTGTTTCAGGATGAAACTCTCTTTTATCACTTACTGGAAATTACTTACGATCATACCATACTCCCAACATTAACCGATGTTTTACTCCAGGAATAAACACACTCTTTTAGAGGATTACTGAAGCTTTCAGTCTTCCATTTCCTTCTATTAATAGAAAACATACACAAATACAAATGTGGACAAAATCTAATGAATTCAACAGATCTACAGTGCTGGAAAAGAATCTCACTCAGGTTGAAATAATGAAGAGCTGAGCCCAAGTTTTCCTGGAACTACTTGATGATCCCTTGTACAAATATTTCACATTTGTTAATTGCTAAGCAATTAGTAATGTTATTGTTTCAGTTGTTTAAATGTAATCTGTGTGTGTCTGGGAAGTAAAACAAGAAAATTGGAAAAGTACCAGGAATTCCAATTCTCTGTATTTTAATTCAAAATCATAAATAACAATGCTTGGGGAGGACTGTTCATTTGTGTCTAAAACACAGGATTTGGAATCATTAGCTCCCAGTTCCGTCACATCCTTTTTGGGTAACTCATTTGATTTCTTGGTATTCTGATTTAAAAGCTGAGGTTTATAAAATTTGTTAACTGAAGCAAGATGAGCTTTCCTTTGTGTCAACAAAGGAAAAAAAAAGGTAACATGAAATAAATTAATGACAGTATGTCAGGATCACTTTTTTAAAACAAACAAACAAACAAAAAAACATCATAAAACGCTAACTTGAGAATCTTAACACAGAAACTCTACGGCCTTATTCTTCTCTCCGTAGCAGCATATTTTTGCTCTACAGTAACCAAAAGAATACACCCAGTGAACACACCAGCTCCTTTCCTTTGGTCTGCAATTAGCCAAGAAGCTGGTGAAATTTTGGGTGGAGGGGTCCACCACGCACCCAGAAAAGAAGGGGAAGGATTTCTCTCCTGTTTTCATATTTGACACAGCCTGAAAACAAAATGTTTCTTCTGGACATAAATCCCAAAGAGATGCAAGCTCCAACATCAAAGATGGCAATCGGTTCAAAACCAAGCCCCTGCCAGGTGCAGGCATTTCATCTAAGACCTCTCAAAAGAGTTCTGAACAGTCATTCCTTGACATACTGATAACAAAACAGAACGAATAAATCAACACTACCTTCACTCACGAATCTTGATATTAATTCTTGCAATACACTGACAGCAAGAAACACCCGATCCTGAAACCTCACTGAAACTGCCCTCTAGGCAGCAGACATGGGCAGAGTAGCACTAACAGCAGCATGCTGCTGCTGAGAAGCACAGGGAGCTCATTTTTAAAGGCTGAACTTTTTTTTTTTTTTGGCAAAACCAATAACAAATACATTATTTACTATGCTGTGTTCATTTAAATACGCAGAACTAGATTTCCCAGCTTATGAATCACAGTTATACAGAGATAAGACTGTCAGAAAGGGGAACTAAACCACCAGCTTTACCATCAAAGCATCAGGCAATTATCACTCATGTCAGAAGAGAACCAATACGAATCAGTAAACACATGGGAGCGAGGCATTAACAGCAGACACAGCTGCACAGACTGAGCCAGCGTGTTTTGATTACTATGAACAGAAATACATATAAATATATAAAAAAATGTATTTTAAATATATACACACACACACTATATATATATATATGTATACACACACATAAAGTCAAGAATGCTGGGCTTCACCTTGGCTGTTCAGACTGCTCGTGGCAGTGACTTACGAGCAATATAGCAGTTCCCAATTTTGCCAGATATTTATGCTGCTTTCACTGGAATCACACATATCATCCACACAGCAGCGTGGAAGATTCCAGGATTCCAGCCTCTCTGCCTCCCCCATTTTCCTAATCCATAATCCTCGTTTCTCAAACACGCTACTTCCACCCTGTGTTCTCCCCTACAAGTGCAGATTCCAGCATGGGCTCAACCACAACTTAGGGTGCTACAGAGCCCACATGCAGAAACCGCTTTATCTAGATGAAATACAACTTTTCTATCAGTAAAAAGATGAATTCCTTTCCAAGATACCCCAGGTGATGAGTTACCACATATCAGTCACTCTCTTTCAAGAAAGGGTAAAAAATTATGGATTATGTAACATTTACTGCAAGGCAAAGCTACTGTGCAAACGTTTGTTACTGCACTGTACCCCTCATTCATGTATCCACATTCAAACTACTTCTTATAGCACAAAAGCTGCAACTTGTGCAGGCCTGATACAAGCTTCACCCATCTGTGGAGCAGTGATGAGTATTTCAGATGCCTGCCTTTCGGGTTAGAATTTGGCCCCATATTCAAAAATAAATAAAATAAAATCTGCTTCTCGGAAAGCATGATCTTGCTTTCTAGAAACGATAGTTCTGTTATTCCTTGCATTATTGTTATTCAAACTATGCTAACTAGGATTTAGTAACTTACTTTGACATCTTGAATGCAATCAGCATCCACACTGGCACATATGACTGATCTCAGCAGAGGGATCATGAGAAAAGAGATGAAAGGATGCACTCATTGACAGCAACTGCAGGTCACATGCAAAGTTGGAATATGTTTTTGATGACTTTGTCTTGAAATGTGACTAAAAGATGAAAAGTCTGACTACATATGAGCCACCTTCTTACTAGAAGATGAAGGATCTATACATCCAAGGTCACGTCTTCTGATTAAAAGATAAGGTTTACAAAAAAGTCAATAAAAATTCAATCCATACATCTGATGATGTATGATCTGATGATGAAACAATCACATAATGGATATAAAAGTAACAAACAGCAAGTTTATTGAATTAAATAATCATGTTTGGCATTGTGCAGGCTGCTCATGGCTTTCAGAATTAACATTGCATTTCTGGTTTACTTCACTGAGGTGGCAGATGAGCTCTGTACACAGCTCTTGCTGTGGCTCTCCTGGTGACAGCAGTACTAATCACCATGTCCACATCCCCTTCCCAAGCCCTAGGCAGCAAAGCTCACGCATCTCCTGAAAGCAGCTGCAGAAACGCAAAGAAAAGGTATGTGCATTTGGGTACTTGTGGATGACTAGGAAAATAAAGAAAATCTCCTGTTCAAGGATTTATTTTTAATCAAATTCAGTCTTTCCCATTCTCTGCGCCCATCCTTTCTCCGAGGCAATCAAGTCAGCAGTTATTAAGAGTTGAAGTAGTATTTAGATTTCGAGGTGCTCTGCAGTGTCCATGTTTGTTTTGCTCTCTCTTGCTCCACTGTTAAATCTTAAGCGTGACAAATGGGTCAGGTTTAGGAGCTGGTCAGTTCTGGTTCCTCCTGACACTCTGGACACAGAGTTCTGGAATCCAAATGAAGACATCATTAATTTAACAATGCCAAAGTTTTCAATTATGCTGAAATTTGGCGATGAGAAGAGGCCTTTTGACTTTGTGGTGGTGTTAAGCAGCTCCCCTTTGCTTTTTCGTGTGCATGCACACAAATCTAGACTGCAGCAAAAGCAAACTGGTTCCCTGTAGAGATAAGGAGCCTGAAGTGCTCAGATCTTACTGCTCTGGGAGGAGGCAAGAAAACAAAATCCAGCATAATCCAAGCTTCTTCATTTGCCGAGGCAACCACAATTATCGTCCTGCTTAGAAAGACAGGATTGCAATTCCCATCAGGGCAGTTCACACAGCTCCAGGGACAGTTAAGAGGCTGTTCTTACCAGGTGAGGATGGTGAGAAGTCCTGTCCTTCAATAAAGCCCGCAGATCCAAACTGCTGATTGTGGGGTTATTGGAAGAGATGACATTTTCCCAGCCAACCAGGCAATGCTGTGAGAAAAGATGGGAATACTGCATGTGAATGCCTTCCCTGTTAGGCTGTTGTGGCCTAGTCTTTCTAAATAAGAAATTCTTCACAAGGAGCCTTGGGAAGATACTTAATTTTTGAGGAGCTTTCTATGACTGAAGGCAGACAGAAGAAATCTCTTCTAATAGAGTGAAATTGTGTATCTGTACACTTTTTTGCCTTTCACTGCTTAATTATTTCTAAACTGATCTCCTGCCTTGAGATAAGTTCAGAAAAGTCAAATTCCTGGATTCACAACTGACTCATCCATCTTGCCAAACCTCAAACCAGGCTTCTTCCTATGTCTTCCCTGGAAATCTCTAGGGCAGGCTGGGTCTGGCCAGTAATACTGCTTGTAGTGTTGCCAACTGGCTTGAATACAGGAGTAGTTCTACAGAAAACAGTTTTAAACCCAAACTTGCAACAAACTGCTGATTTTGTCTGACCACTATACAATCGGGATATTCCACAGAAGTTTGTCATCTAGACTCTCTAACATGTGTGGAAAGAAACAGGCACTCTTAGCTATGGTTCTTCTGGTGATTCCTAAAACACGTTAGATGACTCATGCCCCATAAGTTTACAGCTCCATACGACACTTCTTTTCCTCAGTGCAAAGCATTTTGAGATTCTCTCTATAGAGGGTGATATACAGTACACTGGTTACATGCTTTCACACTCATCCCTTTGTGTATCAGTGGATTTCTTGCTGTTTCAGTATCCCAGATCAGAACCCCTTCACAGACCAGGGACCTGCCATTTACAGAGCTCAGAAATTTCAGTGCAACCACTGCCCGAGTGATCGAGTCTCAGATTCTCTTTCTCTCTTGCACTGTTACAACCACCAAAGTAGTTTTTACTACTAGCAAGAAGAGAGTAACTCACCGAGGGTAAAGCCAGACTGTCAGCGGGTTCAAAGCTTTTCCTGCGATGGGCTTTGTATTTGTAGGGAGCCATAAGGGTAGACCTGGGAATGCTGACCCTGCAACCACAGAAGGGAAATAATTGCCTACACCTCCCTCAAGGTATCAGGTATCTCCTCTCCTTCCCCACTCAAAATCCAAGGGTCTAATCCCAAAGTTAACAAATTGAAATAGTTTCAGATTAGCACCTTAGAACATTTAACATGTACAGTTCAGGTTCTGGACTGAATTGAGATGCATTTATACCCGACTTCAACACTGTTTCTACTTCAAGAAGAGATCCCTGCTATTCTTCGTGGTTTTTAAGCCAGACATCTCTCTACTTTGAGAACATCACACTTCTAAGCAGCTATTTCACAGAACCACAGAATGATTTTGAAACTGTCTTCTCCATCATAGAATGAGCTTTTTCTTCTCCATTGTAATAAGCTGAACTCGAGGAGCCAAAGTAATAGTTCTCATCTACCTCACGTTGGTTGGCTCTTCCTGAGTCCCTGGGGGCCAGTAGGTTCGTGGGATCTTACACACAGGGCACGCAGATTCTGAATCCACAGGGACAGTGAAGAGACGCTGATTTAGTCGATAACAGTAAACACCTGCGCAGATCAGAGAATCATCACTGCATTTCTAGTTTGCCAGTAGGCTCCTAAAACCAGGCCACAAAGCTTTCTTTTACTACAGTGGCAATACATGTGTTCTACAGAGACAGAGCTGCTTTTCAGAAAAATATATTTTACATTTCTTGTCCCCAAATAGGTTCCTAAAAAGCAAAACCAAAATTCAACATCCTAAACTTAAATAGAACTGAGTCAATTACAGGAAACTCTGAAAAAAATAATGACTCTGATTGAGAGAGGATCCCTAGAAGACTCAAGACTCTTCAGAGTAGGAAGCTGAGTCTGGAGTAGAAGTAGCTGTTAAAAATAAAACACTCTTCTTTTACTTATACAGTATGGGGCTCTCCCCAAAAGACAGCCAAAGACTGCCCAGCGGTTTGCTGACCAAAACTAGATTAGGAAGAAATCTGATTTTACATTTATGAGAAATGTGATCTTACACTTATGGGAACTGGTTATCAAATCTGGTTCTTGCTCAGGAAACACAAAATCCAGAGCCTTGGGCCTAAACAAACAAACAAAACTGTCAGTGATTGGAAAGGACAGACGCTCTGAACAGACCCCACGTTCTCCAAGCATAAGCTTCTGCCTGGGAGGCAAAGTCCTGCACAGAGCCATGCTTAGAGCCTCCCACTCCAGCCAGACTATACTTTCCACCAATCTACAGAGATCTGCTTCATCAAATCCCCTGGTATGCACTTACTGCAGGTGGTATTCATGGACACACGCTTCTCTGTTGGCCTGCCGAAATGCCTTCAGCTCAGCAAAATATTGGTCAGATTTTTCTGCTACTGAAGAGTTTGTATCTAAGAGTCCTAAGAAGATCAACAGAAACATTCAAGAATGTTTTGCACCTGGTATCACACAAAAGACTTAGGACTGTAGTACCAGAGAGGGGATAATGAGGAGAGCTTATCATCATGTCAAGCCAGAGATTTCACTATGTGTGTGTTTTCAATCTTCACATTACCCCATCATGCTGAAAACTTTGCTTCATGTTTAGGACTCACCTGCAATCCAGTCATAACCCAGGAAAGGACGTGCAGACCAACTACTCGCAGGAATGGTGCATTCCACAGGCTCAGGTTGAAATGTCACACGACCAGCTTCCTTCCGCTGAAAAAAAAACCCCAAAACCAAATTCAGAAAGACTTCCTGTACCTCCAGCAGCTAAGATACAGCTTGGGAGGTAGGTGGCAGCTGCTTAAATAGGGCAGCTGCAGCCTAGTTTGAGGCTGCATTCTGTCTATATCCCTAGCAGCAATCTGCTTACCAGCCCTTGGACTTCTCAAGCTGTGAAACAGAAAGAGGAGGCAAATGACTTGCCCAAAGTCAGGTAGAAAGTCTATACAAGGACTTTCCACCGAATGCCAGAATACCTGCATCACATGTCCCCAAAGAGCAGGCCAATCATGCCAACAGCCTTAAGTAAACAAGCTAAGTAGCATCAGCTGTTCTCCCCAAGCACCCACAAATGGCACAAAGTCTTCAAGGCCAAGAAACTACAGAATCTCCCTGTGATTCACCAGTTAAAGAAAGCAGGCATGGAATGAGCTGCTGACAGCCTCTGGCTGCTAAAATAGGGCACCGTTCTAATCCTGACTTCTAATTTAAACATTTTTTTCTTGACCTTTTCCTCCATCTCCCTACTAAGTTGTAAAAATGAATGAGGCGCTGGTTTCAGCATTTACCTTCAACTGTTTGGATTCAGATGTCAGCAGGATTGATTTAGGGGTTATGGGCTCTTTAATGAGGGCAACCTTGCTGGTCTCTTCATTTTGTATTTTGCTCAGTGATGAGTCCAGATGAGCTGTAAGCTGGTCTCTGTCTTGGAGACTGTGTAAGAGAATGGATTGTTTTCTATTCTTTCCATGTCCCAGATGGAAGGATTCTTTCTCTGCCCTTTTTGAGGCACGGTCATCCCTATCCACTCTAGATGTTTCTCTGCCACTTGTAATGATTGCAGACACTGGCAAAGCATTTTGCTCTTTCCCAGGGAAGCTGGAATCTGAACCTACTTCTTTCTGCATCTTTGCTTGAAGCTTGTCCCCTCTGTCATGCCTGCTGAGCATCATGTGTCCGAGTGATGAGCAGAGGGCTGCCCTGGCTGCATGAGCTCTGGGCTCCAAAGAGACCAACACTGCTGGATCAGCTGCAGCCTTTACAGCACCAACTTGGTTTTCCTTCTGTAAAGACAGAGACTTTCTTATCTCAGGACATTGTTCAAATTACAAACACTTCTCATTTGGACATTTCACTTAGGAGAAACTCAGCCTCTCAGTCTAGTCTGCCTACCCCCCTAAGATCCTGATAGGAATAAATACTGTTTACAAGACTATGTTGTTAAATGTTTGGAGAACATAAAACAGGGATCCACTGAGAGTTATACACAGTTTCTTTTCTAAGTGGACAAGCTGCTAAATTCTCAGCCTTTATGCTGAGAGGCAATTAGAGGATTACATTCCAGGATGCTTCTTCCTAACTTAGCTAGAGAAACCCTCTTAGGTATGAAGAGAACTCTGAAGCCTTTGCAATGAGCACATAATTGAGGATAAGCATTAACAGCAGCTCTAGCTACTTTTCTGATTTCATACTCTATACTCTGACAGTTGATCCATGTGTAAAGATCTCCTTTACCAACCAATTGCACTGGCAGAGCTGCTGTCTTGCCATTTTAAACCCATCTGCTTCCTGGCACTTCTAGCACTGACTAAACACATACCCCTCTCTCAGACACAGGGACAGATATTTCAGTAGCTTTTTTTTCATGAGGAGATGCTGGAAAGAGTAGTTTTCTGGGAAGGTTTTTTCTGATCTCTTCCTGTTTTATTCTGAGCCTTTCGAGAAGGTCCAGGTTGGCCTGCTGCAGCTTCTTCAAGTGTTCTAACTCCATCCTAAGGACACCTTTTCCTGTAAAACCAGAAAAAGAGCGAATGACATGATTGCAGCATTAGCAAAACAGCAGGTTCAGGACAAACCAGCTAGTTACACTTTCAGAAGGTTCTTTATAATAATCACTTGTAGGTGTTGGAATACTGGGTGCTATCATTGCTCCTGAGAAACCGGTCAATCTCAAAACTCTTTAAGCTCTCTAAGAGCTATCATCACCACACACATTTCCCTTCCCTCAGATGTGCAGTCAGATATTTTGGGCTAAGAATCTGGTGGCTGACTCAGTGGAGATAAACTTTTACAGAGGAAACACCATGAAAAACAGTTATGTCAAAAAGCCAGATGAGAGACATCCTCTCATTCAGAGACTGAGAGAATAATCACACGTAATTCTGCTTTACTATTTTTTAAATCAAAGTTCATATTGTGACATTGATAAGCTTATATGTTCAAAATATGAACAGTGAATATTAGTTAAATCATTATATCATTAGTCAAAACTATCCTCCACATTCCCCAGCCAGGAAGACCACAAAAACTCAGTGATGGCTCAAATCTGGGCTAGGGGTCACGTAGTTCTAAGACTATTAATCACTAAACATTAATATCTTTGTACCAGGAATGAAGAGGAGTAAGTTAAACAAGAACAACAAAATAGAAGCTTGTTTTGGAAGAAGCTGTCCAACATAGACACAACATAATAAGCTCCTCTAAGTTTGCAGAAGATGTTTTACTGAAGAAAAATAAGAAATAACCCTTGGCTAAAGTGATCACTGATGTTTCCTGGTAAAACTTTTATCACGCTTCCCTAGGACCTTTAGTTCTAAAGGAATCCTGAACTCTTCTCCAAAGGGCATCTGATTTGTTTTGGCATGTGGAACCATAGCAACTGGAGGCAAGGACACAAATCTAGGAGTACTGGGAGGAATGGCGAGCGGTACTAACCAAATAAGTGAACACTGCATTACTGGAGTTAATGCACTTAAAATATACTCAAAGCAGTTAAAATGTACTTAAAGTACATTTGAGACCGAGCAAAACCAAGGTTCTCAATTCGGAGGACAAAGCTAACAGCATCATTGCTTATCAGAAAGCAAGTATTATGAAAAGAAAAAAAAAACCCACCACACCACAGACACAAGACATCAGTCGAGGGACTTTTGGTGAGGGTTTTGCCAGATGAGGGCCACTCTGCATGATCTGCAAGAAGCTGCTAATCCTTCGGCCTCCACCTCGCGTGCTCCCTGCCACATCAAGCTTACGAAACCACTTTAGAATGCTTTGCGAAAGGGAGTTTAGATTCTTTCAGTTAAAAGAAAAAAACGAAAAGAAAGAAAAAAACTAAATTTGGAAACTAAATGCAAGCAGGAAAGATTTCCAACAGTTGATTAATGTACGGCAGAGAGGCCCACGGGTATTCCTTGTGAAATTACCCCTTAGGGAGCGAGTTTCTCCACCATGTGGTAACCAACCCCGCGGTGGGTGTGAGGGGGGCTGGGGGTGTTGGCTACCGAGTGGCGGAGAAACTCGCCCCTCTAAAGGCCAGAGCAGGGCCCGGGGAGGCCGCGGGGCCCGACACAGCCGCCGCCGCGGGGGCCGCCCGGCCAA